CAATAATAATTTAGAGAGTAATTTATACATTATTTCATTCCTGAGGGATTAGAGTAACTGATAATTTTGCTATGGATGATTGATAGACACACTCTCATTCTCGTATATTTCACTTCTTCGATACGCTTCAATGTCGTTGTTCAAAGTATTTTAAAGACGAAGTTCTCATCGTGCAAGTGTTACAGTGGATGTCCGTTCTTGCCAACTTACCACATTGAAGAAGAATGACAACATTCAAGAAATTGAAAATACGTAGAAAGAGTATAGATTTTTATCAATTCCTCCGAATGTTCCTTATTGCGATTTGAATTGAATCAAATCGAACTACATCCAAATTATTGACTATGTGATATTTATGTATATAAATCTTCTCTTCAACTGCATCCATGTCCACTCCACCATCGGGTACAACCCTACCGTAAATAATTTATTTTATTTCTTGCTAAGTATTTTCTTTTATTTGCTTAGGTTTATTACTACAAATTGAGTAAAAAAAATTGAAGAACTCTGATGTAAAAGAATTTGCTATCATGATAGACTATTCATGAAGGAAACTGGATGACTTGGTTGTCATTAAAGTACAATACAAGAAAACTGTTGGCTATTGAGAATGCTCAATGAATGTACATTTTTTTCATGATGACGTTTCGACCTTATTCACGAAAGCTCCAACGCAAAATGTAGAAAATCCTACGGTCGAACAGAAGGTCAGTTTGAAGACGAACCATTCACTATTAATCATCAGAGACTATAAATCTCATTATACTTACATGTCAGTTAAACGTCATGAAATACTCTGAAAAGTCTATTCGAATAATTCAACAAATATATTAAAATAATTTTTGTCGTTCACAGAACTGTTTTCTTTCCTTATTTCATCTGGATGATCAACAATTAGGTAAAAAAAAAGAATACTCGAAAAACGTGTGCGTATAATTGGATTCTGATCAATGAATGAGATTTCGTTTTTGCTATCCTGCCCAAGAATAGTATTACTGTTGATACTGCGGAAATGTTGAGCGAAACACTGAACGTTAGCAATCTTATTTCAGTCAAATTTGACAACAACATGGTAAATAAAAATAATAAATCTTTATTTATCGGTAATTTTGGCATGGATTTCGGTTGTACTATTCTTAATAAATTGTAATATCTTTAATGGAAATATTAACAGGTAAAGATCAAGGAATTATATTTCTACTTTTATTTGTATACAGAAAATTTTATTCGTGTATCCCATGAACAATACGAGCAATGACTCATAGCTTGTTTAAATGAAAACAGTAATCTATGATTGTCAGATTGCTTATATTTTTGGTTTGCTTTTCAGCACCATTTAGACTAATTTATGATCATTTTGAAAACAAAATGAATGATTTTATTTCCGATATGTTGTGAATTTTTGGACTTATTGAAAGAATTTCTGATGTGAAAGGTCAAGAAGTAATATAGAAATAGTAACAAAGTTCAATGTTGAATTCTTTGTCTATCTCAAGTGAAAGAGAAAAAAAAAAGAGTTGATAGTGAGTATGTTTCTTCCTGTTTATCCTTCGTCTGTATCAGAAACGTGACCTTTTGACCGAGTACGCTTGTTCTTCTCTCATTCTTTCACTGACATTTGTGTTTTATAGCTTTTTTTTTTCTATTATTCTTTTTCTTGTTCGATCTCTAATAAAGAAAAGACGAGAGCATCTTTACTTACATTCTCATTTTATTCTTCATATTGTCGACACACAGAAGAAGAACAACTAGTACATTATTAGTAAGTTATACAAATGTATAGAGAATGTAATCTTTATTAATTTAATCTTAGAAATAAAATGGACGCAGTCAAATCTGGACTAGAAAAAATGAAAGAAGCTGTTGAAACTAAAAAAGTTGATGAAAAATTGGAAAAAGCCAATGATCCAAATGTTAAACCAAGTGAACGAATGGATGCTGAATTTGAAGCAAACAAAGCAGCAGCTAAAGCTGCCGAACATCATGCTAAAGCTGAAGAACATAAGAATAAACATGTCAACAGCTAAAATTTCAATTGATCAACTATTCAGATCACTTTTTTTAAAAACTTTCTTTTAGTGTTGCGTAATTGTTTGTTTTTGTGAAAATAACCAAGACATTTTAAACTATGAATTAAACTCAATAAATATAACATTTTATTCATACACAGATTGTCAAGTTTAATTATTGAGTTGGCAAAGAGCCAATTATGTGAAAAAATAGAATAAAATTTATTATACTGAGAAAAATTGCTTCAATCGAAATCAAATCTCTGCAAGCGATTTATACGTTATAGATCATAATTCTTCTAAACCTAAGAAATCAAAGTAATTGATTAACATTCCTTGCTATATTAAAAAAGAATTTAGATCTTCGATTATGTTCAGCACCAAAGTTCTAGAAAATTCCTTTTATTTTCCACTTTGTTCGTAAGAAAATAATTTTCACGATTTTTCCAGACAAACATGACAATTTGAAGAATTTCGGAAATGTTTTCGTAATTATGAAAGGATAGAAAGGATTATAATCTTAGCCTTCTAAGATTTTTCAGTTCAAAATCTTAAAATACTAGTAGATTTTGAAAGAAAGATATCAGGTAAATATCTAATAAATAAATCATTAATATATAATAAATAAATAACATTGATTAATTACTTGATAACTAACACCAGCGGCAACGAAGCAGCCGGTGAAAAAGCAAATTCTCGTCGTAATATTCCACGTACAATGAATGGAACAATTTGATTTTTTTTTTTGCTGAATTAATTGTAATAATGGGTCTTGTAATCCCATATAATGATCCAGCATTAGCTCATGTTGGTAATGTTCAAAATGTAGTTATATCACCATTTTACACTTGTTTTTGTTAAATCAGGTCTTAAACCAGTTGTATATATTATGAATGCAGTTATATTAACAACAATACTATCAGCTAGAAATTCAAGTCTTTATATTTGTACACGTATTTTTTTTTATTCTTTACTTAAAGAAGGAAAAGTTTCAAAAATCTTTGCTTATTTAAGCAGAACTGAAACTAGTGTCTTGTATTTATAGCCGTCGTAGCATCAATATTATTTGGTTTATCATTTATTGGTAATCAAATAATTTATCGATGGTTAGTTAATACAACAGGTATTATAGGCTTTATAGCTTGATTTGGAATAGCATTAACTTATTAGAGATTTCGTCGAGCATATATTTTACAGAGTTATTCATTAGATGATCTTATTTATAAAGTATTATTATTTCCAGTTGACTTCTACATTCGCGTTGAAATAAGTCAATTACGCATTTATGTGCTTGAGGATAGTACACTCTGTGTCTTTTTACTCATACATATTCATAGAAAAGTTTGTCTAACGAATAGAAAGCGACTATTTACCTTAATTTTATGTTAAACTTTGACCGCTTTTTGAACTGTTAATATTAATAACAAACAATGAGACAAGCACTACTTAATTAATCGTAAATATTAAATTTAATTTTTTTTGTAATAATGCTTACTTTACTTAAAATTATATGATAAAGTGGTTGAAGTGAGGATAATATTATTCTATTTTGATTTTTTTTTCGGTGAAGAGGAGGCTATTTCAAGCAAATAATGACATTTTATAAAACTTCAGCAAAGAATTTCGCGATCAAGAAATCGGAATCTATAGGTGGTTTGCTGATGTTCTTTATTTAACTTTTTGATGACGAGAGGCGTATTTCTGAAGGTTTTTAATTAAGTTTTATAAAATGTCATTATTTGTTTGAAATAGCTCGCAGATCAAGAAGTGGTCACAGTCGAATGTGATGGGGGTTGGGCAAACAAGCCATCGTCCAGATCTTTCGGATTACATGAAAGATATCCTATCGCCAATCAATGATGATGACAAATAGACAGTGGTAGAACTGAACAACAATCGATTTATTAACGATCTCAAACAAACATATAGTGCTTGTCGTATCTTTGCTTTCTACCCTTTTTTTATTGAGTCTGTTACAATCAATTAGTGAGCTATTTGATATCACAAGCCGCACAGATAAATATCGATGAGTTCGTGATTTCTATTGAAATTATCAAGAGAAAAATAATAACTATTCAATCTCGGATTCTTCCAACCAATGATCTCTTGCAGAATATTGATCTCATTGTTCTGATTGTTTCCATTCCCATCTTCGACAAATTAATCTATTCTACTTTTCGACGATTTAAAATTAGCTTTACCTCAATACCTCGTATCATCTGTAGCTTTTTTAATGCTTTCCTGACCGCGACCTAGACAGCACTAGTATAACATCTGATCTATCAAGCTGGTCCGAAGTTCGACTTATTCAAGTCGTGTACGGTAGAACCTTGTCAAAAATTCAACAATATCATCGTTGCTTGGCAAATTCCATCGTATTTTTTCATCGCCATATCTGAAATCTTTGCATCGGTTACCAATTCTCAGTACACATTCATTCAGGCACCACCGTCAATGAAATCCATCATCATATAAATTTTCCTCTTCACATTGACGATCGGCAGTGCCCTGAATTTTGCATTTGTACTAGTGCTCATCCGCCCAAAAATGATATGGATGTTTGCATCATTGTCGATATTCTATTTTTCCTTAGCTTTCGAAACAAAAAGAAAATACACAACCAACAACCAGCCAACAAATAGATTAGGTCAATTCTTGTATTTTTTTATATCTCGTTCTAGGATCCAGATGATCATTAATAAATATCTGATCTAAATGTCTCATTTGTCTGTTCTTCATGTTTCACAAGATCGTTGGTGACGAAATCGATGATCAAGTGGTGGAATACACAAATGAAAAAAAAAAGAAAATATATCCAAATGTTTTGATTGATAAAATGTTTATCGACCCTTCCGGTCGTCTGACTAATTTGTGATAAGATCGATGCTTTTTGGTGTCGTTGAAGCACTCTTGACTATCTATTGAAAAAAAAACAGAATTTTGATTATCATGAATCAGTCAATACAACAATGAAAACAGATAAATAACAAGACCTTCAAGACAAATTTAGCACATAAAAATAAATTGTGTCAATATTTGATGCCATTTTTAAAGCTCATATAAATACAGAACAGTTAAACAAGGAAGAGAACAAGTTTAAGAAGAAAAACAAATTACGTTTAGATAAGCAAGGCATCCATTTTATTTATATTCGAAAATCAACCTATTATCACAAGGTTTTACTCAATTAAACAATAAATGAAACACGTCTTCTACTGTATCATCATCCTAGTCTTGTTTTTCTCATTCACCTCTTTAACCAAGCATGCAACACAAGCAACCTCATTCTAGATAAATGAATCGGAACTTCTTCAAAAAATATCCAAATTACTGGATGAACGTGAAGAACGTAGTCTTCGAAAAATCAAAAGTGTACTCTGTTCAATGAAAATTCGTTGTGAAGAAAGTGCACTCAAGTGGTACAACGCGCGTCTTCATGATTTTTGTCCCAAGTACAAATTATTTTTAGGCAGTGATGACTGTGTCACAAATGAGTTTTGATTGCTTATATGAAACTCATGGAATTCATAGAAAGACTTCACTCATTAGTTTTCTTTAATCTTCTTTTATACCCGAATAAACAACAGAATCTTTGATCAGAATTTTTACATATTATCTTCTTTTATGTCTTTTGTCTGAAATAAAGAAATCATATCTAACCTCTTTTTTGATGAAATTTTTTTGCAAATAAAGTAAAGAAGGACATTTTTTTTCGCTTGATGAAAGCTTCAAGTGAGCCCGTTGAGCTCAAAATTTGTGGACTCGAGCGTGGACCTTTTTCCAAATCGTACTCTAGCTACTCAAAGAAGTTTTTTAATCCACATCTGATAGCCACTCCAAAATACGCTGTCAATATTACTCAAGCAATCTTGATGATGATCTTATAAGAATCAAGCAAGATGAAGGAACAACAGGTATCTCGATTGTTGCTAGTGGATAAGACAC